CTAGTTGGAACAATACAGTGCAAAAATCACAGGATGTAGCCAAGGGTACATATTTTCAAAAGGGTTATATCTAGCCCCAGCCCTCTCAGTTGAACAAGCCAGAAGTTGAACATCCTGCATTAGATCCAGCCTGTTTGAGTTGTAAGATATGCTGTAAGGTTTATCTGCTCATTCAGTTCCCTGAGCAATGCCCATTGCTTATGGCAGGTTGTTCTTTGCTTGGGAGGAGCAGTAAGATTACGGGGAGAGACGCTGTGGTCTGACAGAATGAATTAGTATTGAATTAATAAATGAGGACTGAAAAGCTCATGAATATAATCTTTTCTCCTCCCTTACTCTTTCCAAGATGTCTGCTGTTGGGGGTTTATTAGCAGGTATATATTTTTTAAATGTCTTCAGGTCAGAGTTAAAAGGAGAGGCTTCTGGAAGAACCATCTGTGATGTATAAACCCAGCCTTGGATGTCAAATATAAAAATGATATTTATCATCTACAATTGAGGGATGCTTAATATTGGTATCTCAGTTTGAAGCTTTAATTTGGCTTAAGTCTATTTACCAGGCTTGTAATAGGATATATTATTTTGACCTTTATTTTTTTGGTGGTGATTTTTTTTTTTTCCACTTGGAAAACCCCCAAATTCAGCAAGTTCCAGTGTGGTCTCTACAGTGATGTGTCTGAAATTAGAATTTCCTTTTATCTTTTTTTTTCCTTCCTATCTAAACATAACTGTTAAAATTAAGTGCTTCTACATTGTCTTGTGGTTTTGTGCTCTGCTGAGTAAGGACAATTTTATTACCAAAGTGACATAACCTATTAGATTCTCCTCTGCTTTTATCAATCTGATTTTAAAGTTTCATATTATTTTGAGTCCTGTTGGCTTTGCTTTTACTTAAATCATGTTGGTCTGCCATTCCCTTAGGAGAAATTTGAAAGCTGACTTTGTCCAGTCACTTACATTGTTCCAAACCCATCCATGTTGTTGAGACCTAGCTCTGTTGCAGCATGATCTACAGGGTCCTTGTTAGGCAGAGAAATGTACTGATTTAGTGTATGTCAGTGTGAATTGCATTCAAGGAGTCCAGACTTCTACTGTACGTAAACCATGAATTTTTTCCACGGCTGTACCTTCACCCTGTGTTCTTGTGTCAGCCTTCAGATCACAGGGCAGCCATGAGCCTCCCCCAGCTCCCTCTTGTGCCTGTCACAGGATTGTCTCCTGGCTCTTTATGAACTACATCAGCATTTGGCTGAGCTTCAGATCTGTTTTTTGACATTTTTCTCTAGTTTAATTCCTTGTTTATTTGCTATCTGAATATTTTTTTAAAAAAGAAAGAAAAAAGGTAAGAGGTTGACGGGGAGGAAACATCATGGGAGAACAGAGTTCTTGGCATCAAAACTAGAAAGTGAATATTCGTAGCCATTTGCTATGTGTGAAAGACTGTGAGTTCTCTGGTTAAAGTCTGCTGCTTTTGACAGCCACTTAATGTGAGATCCACATTGATGCATATTTTAGAGGAAAAGCTTAAAAAGAAAGAGTGCACTACTTTCATGATTATCAACTGACTTTTTCAGATGCTGAAACCACAACCTTCTCTCCACTCTTGACTGTTGGGGTCTTCATCTTGAAGGATGATTCAAATTTACAGTCTTCAAACAGCAAGGGGGAGCTGAGGGAGGATTGCCTGTTACAGGATTCAAGAGATAGGACCCCCCTGGAGACACTTGCTGTTTCAAAGCCTTCTTTAACCTGAAACACGTGGGATTCATCCCCAACTTAGGCAAGAGCTGCACCGCTGGCATCCTTTCAGAATACTACCATTATTGTGGTATAGTGGCTGTTCTTCTCAGTCGATTAGTGGTGTGTTGTGCATAGCATCCCATCTAATCTTGAGATTATGTAGTGTAGAGATTATATAGTTAACGGAGGAACAATTTATGTACTTGAGAATGGATACTCAAGAATGATCCTCCTTGGGCCCAGGTTGCCTCTGAGAACGCAGCCTGGCTTTTATTTTGTATCCTAAAAAAAGAGATGCTAAGCCTGTTTCCAGTAACCAGAGACTTCACTGAGTATGCAGCACTCAGCTTCTTCAGTACAGTATTATATCTACATAATCTCTGTACTAATTCACTGGATCTATTGTTTAGCAAAGCTGTTTTTCAGGATGCGGATACTCTCAGAATAGGAAACCCCCCCATGATCATTTAAGGGAATGTACACACTGAAGTATAATAATGTGCTGAATCTCATGTTTCTCTTACGTGTTGCTCTGCATCCACCTGACCTAAGTCAGTATGTGTCAACTTTCTACCAGATTTTACATTAAATGTTATTATACTGTCTTGAAGAAAAAGACAGTGAGCAGGTGAAACATCCTAGGTCCATGAAGAGAGATCCAAACCCTTCCTCCAGAATGCAGTGAACTAGCAGTCAGACACCCCTTTCACCGCCTGAAATCTGAGTTGTGACGTGGTGGTTCTCACACGCTCAGTGGTTTGGCAGTGTTACCAAATGTTTATTTGACAGTGTTCCCTGCTCTCAGAAACAACAAAAGAGACTTATTTTTCCCTTGCTCGTATTTTTTTCAACGATCATGTTCATTGTCTTCATCTGACGCTTGTTTCTTCAGAGACATCAGAGGGGGTATGGTGGGTTGACCCCTGCCAGCAGCTAAGCTCCACCCAGCCACTTGCGCTCCCATAGGGCAGAGAATAGGGGTAGCAAAAGCAAGAAAACTCATGGATAAAGACAGTTTAATACGTGAATGAAAGAGGAAAAAAAGAGGCAATGCAAAGGCAACCATTCACCACCTACCAATGCCCAGCCAGTCTCCAAGCGATGGCTGTCTCCCAGACCAACACCCCCAAGCTGACGCGTTTTTTATTGCTGAGCAGGAGGTTATACGGCACGCGACACCCCTTTGCTCGGCTTGGGTCAGTTGTCCTGGCAGGGTCCCCTCCCAGCTTCTCGCCCACCCCTGGCCTGCTTACTGGGGGCAGAGTGGGGGAAAGAGAAAAGAGAAGGCCCTGGCACTGTGCCGGTACTGCTCAGCAATAGCCAAAACACTGTCACAAATCCAAAACATGGCACCATGTGGGCTGCTGCAAAGAAAATTAACTCCATCCCAGCCAGACCCAGTACAGGGCAGGGCCAGAAAACCAACTGCTAATGATCATCGATAAATTTAAATTTTTGTATTCAGGAAAAGAAATCTGTAAAGCCTAAGAAATTCTTGTTTACTTGAACCAGCACCACATAAAATCCGTGCCATTTCTGAGTGGCAGTGTGTCGACTGGAGCAGAGCCTTCCTCTTCCCCAGTAGCACTGTGTCATTTCTCAGGCTGATTGTGCTTACAGCCAGCAGCCCTTCACATGCATGTGTGTTGGCTGCTTATTTAAGGCTGATGTTCCCATCACTAAACTTTAGCAGTTGAGTGGCAGCTTCTGTGTCAGAGCCTTAAGTTTCGGTATAGCTGTGTGAGTTTGGTGTCTGGGCTCTGGTGGGTCCCAGTGGAGATCTGTCACTGCTGCCCGGGGGGTTCGGAGTGTGATTCAGCTAATCAAATGTAGGTGCCTGCTCTTGGGGGCAAGAGCGGCTCTCAAGGCTTCGCTCAGTTTAGTGACTTGATCTCCATCGACTGCAGCGCAAGCGCAGGCACTGACGTTGTCGGTTTCTAACATCAGGTGCCCAAATCTAAATCCAGATACCAGCCCCAGCCCTGGGCCTGAAATCGGTAGCCTGCACCTGGAGCTGTTTGAGATACCCCAGGGTATTCTGCCTTGCCTCCAGCTGCCAGGCCAGAGGGGCCTGGCTCTTCCATAGGTTGTGCATCGTATCTGCCAACCACGTGAGTGTCTTACATACCCATGAATGTCTGAAGTGGCACTTGGTGTCTGGGCAGCTGAACTGAGCCCCTGGTAGAGCCTCAGATACCGACAAGTGTGATAATCCATGTTTTCTTCATAGTAAGTATAAAGAAATAGATCTTGATGTTTCAAGTTTTCTGTGGCCTGCAAGTACCTGTTTATTGGCATCGAATGTGAGTTTTCTAGAGGTAGAGGTTATCGAAACTGAGACATGTAAAGTGAGGTGAACACTTCTACAAAGTCACATGCCCTTCTACAAAGGGTCCAGTAATTTCTATGCGTGTTTCTTTGGTCTTTTTAAACCTGCTTTCTTAGAGTATTATGTATTTTTATACATTATTTAACAGCTGGAATACATACTCCCTTTTTATTTGTAAGACACATTGACATACTTGTCGGTTGCACAGCAACATCTTATAAGTATCTTCTTTTCATGACAACTGCTTTTTATGATTTCTGTGTAGGAGTGCTGGCTCCTGTATTTTCCAGATGAAAGTTGAGATGATGCCCTTATGTATAGACAGTAAAGGGATGCGAAAACTTTAGATTAATATTCAAAATTCTTCTTTTATGCTGAGTGTACAGTAAGTTTATTATAGAATCATAGAATCATTTAGGTTGGAAAAGACCTCTAAGATCATCGTAAACCAATCGTAAACCTTTACATTTATTAATGTATTATTTATTATCTTATCATCTTTGTAGATGCAGACATATCCACTTTCTTGCACACCAGGGGATAGATAAGCTATGTCAACCTACTGGATCCTTTACGCTTCCAGTTTATGTGATCTGGTGGAAGGCCATACCCGCGTAACTATTGAAGCAAGCATCAGATGCAGGCTTGCTCTGAGGGAAATGGTTTGTGGCAGGTTGCTGTCTGGAGCAATTTCATTTGAGAGAATGGTTCTGGGGGCTACAGAGCCGACTCCCTGGATGACCTGTGCAGAAATGCTCACCAGCATGCAGTTTTTTAAATATTTCATACTGTTTATGAAGGTCTAAAATACAGAGAAAGATGGCAAGAAAACGCAAGAAGTGCTTGTGGGGCTTTGTAGGAAGATTTTCACCCTTGGATGAGCAGCTGTTATAAAGTGATAACTTATCTTATTGAATGTTCTTCTTTTCAGCCAAGGAGTATTGCAAAGTGATATTTCCATATGAAGCACAGAATGATGATGAACTCACAATCCGAGAAGGTGATGTCGTCACACTTATCAGTAAGGTAAAAGCAATATTTTTCTCCTATAAGCAGTAATTCGCTTTTTAAAGTTGACATAATTCAATTGCCGTAAAATGCCTATTCGTGCCTTTTACAGTGTCCTTCCTAAAACAATGCTAGTTTGACATAGACTTCAGAAAGCCCTACATCTCCCTTCCTCTTGTGCTTTACAGCCTTACCTTGATAACATTAAGTGAGGAACAGCAGACATGTTCTCCAGAGTCCACAAGTTTATGCAAATAATTTTAATTTGAATCTGCTGACAGATGTACATAAATTGTAAATTGATCCCTGTAACACCATAAAAGCAGAGAGAATAAACTGGAAGACTCAGGAAAGCAGCAGCTTTGAACATCTCTGTTAGGTGTGTGAGTTATCTTTCTTGTAGGAATTGTGAATTAGATTTTTTGGGTTAGATGGAGATAATGTGCCTAAATTAGCTTAATGAACTAACCACTTATTTAAGATGTAGCCACCCTTAACACTCTGGTAAAGCAGAAAAAGATGATAAAACAAATTAAATTAAATAATTTTAGATCCGTGTTCTTTTCTTTAAAATTACTTGAAATGATTCAAGATTAGAAAGGAAAATCTAGTGCCCGGATTTATACTAAATCTCCAAAAACTCTACAGTTAAGATGGTGAGTTAGCAGTTGGTTTTCTTTTAGAAGAGCTGTGCACCATGTTTCAAAGAGTGGATTATAGTTTAGGTGCAGTTAATTTTCTGCTCTTGTTTAAAGACTTTACAGTTTGTTTAAATGTTTTTGACTGCTGCATTTGAGTATTTGGGGAAAAAAGAGCTGCAAACTAGAAAATGGTGTGTATTTTGCATGATGAAGATAATTGTAATGATGTGCACAGTAGTGCTGCTGTTGTTTGTGCTTATAGGAAAGTAAAAGAATGAATTCTATAACTGATAATTTTCATAAGAAATTTTTACTGGAATGAGCAATTTGGCACCAGGACAGAACAAAAACAGAATCCTTGGGAAGTACATGTGGGACAGTGTTTACTATGTACTAAAGCCATTTGCGATCCTAGAGGACCTCTTCTTTGTCCTGAAGCATATACATGTAACCAAGGCAAAATGATCAGACTTTTGGCAGGAAGAGAAACTGCAAATTTAAAAAAATAAATTGTGTACATTAAATATCCTGTAATGAATTGCCCTCAGTAACTTTTTTTTTATCTTCTCTTGAAAACTAGTTTGGCTTCACCTGATTTAGAATGTTCTTGTGCAAGTATTTAATAGTGCCTCTGATCATGGAAATGGCTTTTAAGATGTTGTTCCTGTTCACTTTACGCTTTATTGACCAGGTTGATTCAACTCTCTGAGATGGCTGGTCTCCAGGTGGAGCTGTGTTCTTCAGTATACATAGATAAAGGGACAATTACTTTACTGAGATTTCAATATGAGATTTCATTTGCTTGCTTTTCCCCATTTTCTTCTTCTTGCTGCCTCTGCCCCCACAATGGGAGGATATTTGTCTTTTATAATAACTGAACTGATGATCTGACTGGATTGATCAGTTTTCCCAACCATGCAGTGAGCAGTTTGTCAGTATATACTGCAGTATATCCCCCTGACTTTCTACTCTCCAGCCTGATGGTATCAAGCCAGTGCAGACATTTTATTCAATTTTCTTCTTTCTTCTGTGGTATGTCACATGTTTATGAACAATTACATAAACCCATGCCTCTAGAGAGTGGGGGATCTCAATGCAAAAAAGCTTGGCATTTCTCCTTGGATGCTTTTTTATGCTGTGTCTGAATTAATCTGAGATACTGAAGAAACAGTGCTTAACAAGCAGTCACTTTGCAATCCTTTTGAGGTTTGCAGACCTCACTGCAGACAGGCTTGTGGGTTTGTTTATCTGTTTTTAACAACTAGTTTAAGAAGTAAAATTCAAGCCATGTTGTGGTCAAATTCAAGGATGTCAGGGTCTTTGCTGTAGAGTTCTGAAAACAGCATTAGGCAAAATTTATTCTTCTCAATTACCTAGACCCAAGGAGAGAAGATTGTTACTTTTACAGAAAGAGATGGGTGTCGTACCACTTCCTACAACCACAGATGCCTTATCATAAAATAATGTATTTTGTTGAAATCACTAAAATCAGAAAGTTATATGAATTCTCAGAATTAAAAGCCCCCCCTTCCAGGCTATCTATTCTCACAGTCACATCTATAGGAATGTTGAAGACTCACAATTTTAACTCATACTGAATTTGCATTTAATTGAAGACAACAGCATTAGTGAGAATATGTGGAAGTGGCTGAAGTAGTGAGGAGTGAGTGATACAGGAACGGGAGAGAAATCTCGTGAAAATAATGCAAAATGCGTTACAAGAATCTTAAAAGCATGAAGATGAGATAGCACTTGATAGGTGCTAAGAGGAAGGGCAATGACTTAAATGAGCTAAATGGTAAGTTACTAGAAGAGCCTGTGTATTTATGCATGCACATGTGAGAATATGTGTGTGAGGAAGCTGCTAGTCTGGTGTTAATTTTTAAATGCAAAATTCAAAATCACCATTTTAACAGTGACCCTGCAGATAAAAGGGATAAGAGTATATCAGGTTTCTCTCTTTTTTCCCACTAAATTAGTTATAAAAGCCCCCTTGTCAAATCTATCTAATATAAAGAACAAACCAATATTTTTTTTATCATGGCCTTTGCAGAATCTGTTTCAAGTTCTCACTCTGTTTTGATGGATGTTGAGATCTTGAATCAAAAGTTGATCAGACCTTTCCTATCGGCTTCTATGGTAAGGGAATTTGATTATCTGAGTTTTGTTATGCAATAACCAAAGAATACTTTGAACAGATTTGCTGAATCACAAATGACTTCCTTAGTCAATTGGAGAATGTGCTGATGAGTTTTATTTAAGCACTGAAGTGAGTCAGTAGAGGCTGAAAATTTACTGGTCAGAACGGTATGTATTTTGGGAGATACAAGAGGAAGGATGTCATTATGCAAGACTGATAGTCAAAAACAATTGCCTGTTAAACAGCATACTGAGTCATTTTTCAATGAACTGCATAGGCCTAAATCATGGAAAAGATACACTATGAGATAGACCCCAAATATATGGCAGTAACAGTTGTTTTCTCATAGATTAAAATTTACTTTAAAAACTAGAAGAAAAGGAGAAACTAACTTCACATAAATGTATTCCAGAAATTTCTGGAAAAGGTTTTTCTCTCGTCCCTTTACCCAGTGAAGCAAATACCCTTGGAGATACATAGAAAATATTTTATTTATTAATTACTTGAAATTAAAGGGGACAAATGGTAGATAATATTGCTCAGAATTCTAAAGGAAGGTGAAAACTTCATGTTCAAGGCAAGAAAATGGTATACCTGGTATCTTTGCTTTGCAAAAAGAGGTCTAAGAAAAATACACCTTTGGAAGAAAGAGAACAAAAAGCAAAATACAGTAATTTTACTACTTGTGCAATTTGATGATAAGATATGTTCGTAAGCTGAAAAGGTGTGAATGGCAACAGGCCATGAGATTGACCCGGTAGGTTATTCTTTGTAATGTCAAACATCTGTGTTCCTTAGGTAGTTTTCTTAGTGTCTTCAAAATGTTCCTGACACATTTGAATAAGGACAAGAACACTGGTAGCGGTGTCTGAAGGACAATGGCAAATAGGTGTTTTATCATGCTCAGGTATTGATTTTTGGAGATTGTATTTGTAACAAAGAGTCACTTTTAAGCAAAAGAAGATTCACGTGACATTTTCAACTCTCATCTTGAAAATCTGTTAGGAATTTTCATTCCAGCACTTTTAGGCATAGCTACTGTAGGCTAATTAATAGAAACTCTTCATGCAAGCACTAAAAATTTCTTAGTAGCTCTAATAAATTCTGACAAAATGCATAGGATTCTGGAAATTTCACTGGCATACAGAAAATGACCTGTGTGAGAAATTGATAGTAATAGCTAAATAATTTCAAAGCAAATACATCAAGCACACACCGGCAGCTGTGCACTCATTTGAAAGCAGTTTTTCTTGCAAGAGTGTGAAGGATTTCATTGCGCTACATCAATCTACCTGAGCTCTAGGCAGTAAAGACCAGTTTGTTCCCAAGAATGCAAATGATCTGGATAAATAAAATTAACTACTTCAAAAATCATTGCAAATAATATTGTTATTTCATAATGTCACGTTTTCACTTTGCAGGAACTGCTCTGTGCATTCGTCCATGTTAGAGTATGGAATCTGTCCTCAGGCGGAGCGCTTAATGTTTTCCAATTCTTAGGCTAGTTGTTAGGCACTTAATTTCACCCTCTCTCTGTTTATAGACAGTTACCCGAGTATGGCCCTTTTGCCAAAATAATTCTGCTGGTTTTCTCTGTTACGACACCTTTAAATGCTCATCCTGGTGCAGGAGGTAATGGTCCAGAGCACTTTCTTTAGCTGAGCGATTGCCAGGGAGAATTCGGCTGGGTAGGGTTGTGAAGGAAAACAGCTGCTCAAACGGATGCAAGGGGCTCCTAAAGGGATGAAATTAGTAAGTGCTATGTACAAGAGTCTTGCCAGTGAGTTGAGGCCATGAGCAGGGGAAGGAGCAGGAACCAGACAGCATGATAGAGGACACTAGCTGATACTTAACTGAACATTTTGCTGAGTTGTGGTGTCACTAGGGTTGAAACCTGCCTGTGGCCTGCATTTGTTTCTACGGGGATATTTTCCATTGCTGAATTTTTCTGTACGCTTTTAATTGCAAACAGCACAGACGACACCAAGTTGGGTGGGAGTGTTGATCTGCTGGAGGTCAGGAGGGCTCTGCAGAGGGATCTGGACAGGCTGGATCGATGGGCTGGGGTCAATTGTATAAGGTTCAACAAGGCCAAGTGCCGGGTCCTGCAGCTGGGTCACAACAACCCCATGCAACGCTACAGGCTTGGGGAGGAGTGGCTGGAGAGCTGCCCGGTGGAAAAGGACCTGGGGGTGCTGGTTGACAGCCGGCTGAACATGAGCCAGCAGTGTGCCCAG